CTTCAACCGGTCACCGTTAGTTCCCTGTAAGCCCTTCACGTAGCTTGCCGCATATGTTCCAGCCACCACCGGATCTTCACCAGGAGTCTCCTGTCCTCGGCCCCATCGTGGGTCCCTGAAAATGTTTACATTTGGACTCCAGTATGTTAGCCCAGCCGTTCCCCCGTTGTACATCGCCCTTGCCTCATCTGACACAACCTGCGCCATCGGTGCCCAAACTTTACGTTAGACTTTATACATATTGTCCCATTGAAACACCAACCAATGCTATCGTAAAGCTGGTTAAAAAAAAGAATGTTACCCGTCCGATGGCTTCCCATAATGTAGCATTGAAAGAAGCAGCGGTTGTGATTACTTGAGGGAAGCTGGTGGCCCCGGGGAAGGCCTTACCGAACTTGGTTCCGGGTCCCACATTTGAGACACCATGAAGAGCCTCGGACCACCATTCGTACCCTTTGATCCCCAGCCGTGGAACGGCTATCGCATTGTTCACCAGCAACCTAACCTTCTCTTGCAACGTCAACCTTCCGAGCAGGTCCTTCACCCTAGCCGGTATTGGCATCGAAACCTTGCAAAACGGCAAGCTCGACGTCGTTGCGTCTTTCGGGTCGCAAGCGAACGGGTCACGGGCTTCGGCGGAAGCACCCAAGAGGAGGAGAAGGAAGAGAGTAAGGATTAGGGATGAAGAGGCCATGGGTGCTGAAGAAGAAGAAGAAGCAATGTGGATATGTTTTTTTGATGGTACGAAGGTGAAGAAGAACAATGTATGGTACTTATATAGGTGAAGTTTGTGCTGAGGATGGACACAAGTGATGCAACCAAACTAACTTTGATCATTACATGTTCTCATCAATTGTTCTTTAACAGCTCAAAATATTAAAATAAATAAATAAAAACCGAGGTGAAATATTATATATATTAGTTCCGATATATTCGAAGAGTTTGGTTGATTAATGATTTATAAAATTATATATCGTAATAAATATTATCCCATAAAAGAGCACAACATTTTTCTGACATCAAAAGGCTATTTGAGCAGTTATACACTTATGATCAGATCTTTTATATAGTACTATATTTGATGTTCAACTATTTTTTTTAATCGTGTCTAATATTACGTTTTGATTTCATTTTGATAACTCATCGTTAAAAAATTAGTTGTGATACTGACCATAAAGTAATGCCACATTATCATTGAAAAATAATTTAAAAAATATCACGTCAACAGCTCAGTTAATTTTCTAATTGTAAATACCAAAATGAAATTAAAATGCGACGTTAGGTATGATTTAAAAATAATAATAGTTCAATGACCAAAACGAAAAAATGTTGTTTTACTGTAGTTTAAATATGTGTAGTGGCGAATAGCTTGGCTTTGAAGAGAGGTCTGGTGCAGTACGCTAGACAGGACCAACAATTTTCAACCCATACTGGACGGTGGAACGGTGCATGGTTATTGTTTACCAATAGAATAATTTTTAAAAATGAGGTATTATAAAAAAACCAACTTTCAACGTTTACTTTTTTAGTTAATTTAATTTTTATTTTCCTCTTAAAAGAAGATTAATTAAGACTAAAGTTTTGCATGTAAACTACCATAAATAATTACACATACCTGTATTACTTGAACCTGAAGTAGAGTAACCCTAAACCTTCGGTTAAAATGTCTAAATAACACATTCATACCTGATATTCTTAAGTTACACTGTTTTGCACTATGTTCTGGTTCATGGGCTAATATTTCATCATCTCTATTGCAATGTAATTAGAGTTCATACAGGGTGAATCCATTTAGTGATTCTAATAGTAAAAGATAGCGTTATTTTTTAGAGGTTTCGAATTTGAATATCTGTATATCCAGAATGTATATACGTTATAAATGGTTAAAAAATATTATGGATGTATATTATTTTGCAATTTTATCATTTATAGTGGATCGAAATATATTTTTATTATCATGTTAACTTAAAACTTTAAATTATAAAGGGACTAAAACCAAAATGTGATAGTGCAATTACATCTTCTTCCCGTAACCAAACTAGATCATAACAAACTTTTTTTCCAAACTAACATCAACTCTTTTCCCTTTAACGACCTCTTCTTTTAATATTTTTTCCGCAAACCTTTGCTTGCATTTTCAAGAAGAAAAAAGAAAGAAAGAAAAGCAGATTACAACGAACTCCATTGCTTTCTAATGCAATTCTCAAATATCTCATATTAACGAAAGCAAGAAAGGAATTGCTTACCATATTTGGCTCAACGTGGGTCAAAAGGTACCAGAGAATGGGTAGGAATGAAAATGAATTTAATATACACATACATATAAACGTAATTGTTCGAATTCAAGTTCTTTTAAAAAATAATATTCTCTTTTACTATTAAAATATAATATCGATATTCATACAAATCCATATGATATGATTCAAATTGCAATCTCTAAAAGTGAGACAGCTCATAAGGGATGGTGGTACATATCACAATGGTTACTTAATCATGACTGGTAAGCTGTAACAAATCGAAAACAAATGTGCACCTAAAATATGGGTCACGAAAATAGTGGACCCCTTCATCAAGTTGAAACAACTTTAGGGCATGGTTGATAAAAAATACGCAATGAGAATTACAGCAAGGCGGGGACGGGGAGAAAGATGGGTGGGTGGATAAGTATATGACATAAAGAGTATGATTTTTGTCCAACATGTCACATTATTTTTTTTCTTTTGAATTTCCAACATGTCACATTAACTTCTACTTTTGGGGGAATTCTTATCCATTTAGAAGATTTCAATTGTCAACATCGGGTCAATCGAATGATATTTAGCCTTAAAAATATCAATTTATACTTTAAATTATTACGGAATTTTAATTTTTATAAACATTTTAATTCATATGTTTATGGCTTAGAGTCGTACTCTTTCTCTTCTTCATCTTTATTTTCATATAACTATATTAAGTTTAGTGTTCATTGTCAATCGATAATATTTATTATTTTTCTTTTATTTTTATATTACATCTTTATTTATCTTTTTTTTAGTTTTTTAGAAATTGTATCTTTATAACATATTTTCTCTGTCTTCTGACACGTTTTTTTTATTTTTTTTATCAATCGCTTGATCGATCTTTTCGTTTATCTTTTTCTTAAGGTTTGATTTGATGTCGCATTTACTAATCAAAATGATATTTATTTGTTATCATATTGATCTTCTATGTTTTGGACCCTCATATTGGATACACGATTTTCATTCTTGGATAGTTTTTTCACGTTGTTCGACTCTGATTTACTGTTTTATCGGTGATCTTTCAATAGTTTGATCTCTTTTTTTGGCTCGTTTGTTGATGCAATCAATCAAATCTATTCGTATTTATCTTTTGTTCGAGTTTTTTAGTTGGATTTTTAACATTTCCTTGTTTGAAAATGATTAGTTTTTTAAGTTAATGATTATAATTTACAGTTGTGATTGTAGACCTTCATTATAATTTTAGATATTTTTTATTTTTAATAAAATTAACAAATTTTATATAAAAAAAAAGTTCATATGTTTAAGATTTTATTTTGACATATATGAATTACAATGTGATTAGATACTTATGATTTAATTTAAAACGATTTGAAAGTATCAATCGTCTAAATAATCTAATGTGATATCTTAAATTTCCTAAATATTTTGAGTTGAATTTAAGAATGTTACATTTCTCTTGTGATTTATTTTGACAAATAAAAAAAATTTGAGAATAAAAAAAGACAAAAAGAAGTTTAAAGATTGAAAATAGCATTTGATCTTATATTTATTTTTATAAAATACTTTATTTCACACACTCAAAATGCCATAAATACAAAAATATATAATTTAAGTAATATTCAAAAAAATTGAAATTTTATTATGAATTGTTTAAAGTTTTTTAATGTGCAAGTCAATGTCAACAATGATTCATCGAATATAAAAATCTATATTTATATAGTTATAGTTTTAATATAGGGTAAAATATATAAATAGTCCACGAGCTATAAGGTGCTATTTTATTTAGTCCGTCAACTATTATAAGTTACAAAATGGTCATTGGACTATCCATATATTCCAAATTTGGCCTCTTCCCGTTAAAAAATTAACAGTCGTCTAAACTGGACGTTAATCTACTGACTTAGATATAATAAAATCATATTTTAATGATGTCTATAGGAACCATCGTTGTTTTCAAGCATTGACTTTATGACATAATACAAACGTATACTCAATCTACAAAATACAACTCAAATGGTTATGGGATCAAATTTTATCATATCCTAGTGAGCATGTTAACATCTAACTCAGACGGTCGTCGATTTTCAACAGAAAATAACGATTTTGGAACATATGAATATTCAGGTGACTATTTTGTAACTTTTAATAGTCGGGAGACTCAACAAAATAACATCTTATAGTCAATAGACTATTTTGTAACTTGTAATAGTTGAGGGAGTCAACATAACAACACCCTATAGTTAGGTGACCATTTGTGTATTTTACCCCTTAATCTAATGGAAAACTTTAGATAACTTTACTGCATAAAAAGAAAAAGAGAGAGAAAAACTAAAAAATCTGACAATAGTAGTAATGTAAATTTTTATGACCACGTTAATTAATTTTGAAATTTGTTAGCTATATTGTCAAAATAACCTTTTAGTGATGGTTTGACATCGTAAAATGAGTTTCAACGTTTTCAAATTCCGATCAATAAATTATGTAGTACTATACATAGAGATGGATTCATAGGGTAATTGTTTTTTAAAAGTTTTAAATTATTATGTGTTTTATATTTGTTTATATTTTTTTATTAATAATATATTTTTATTTTTAAATTTTTTTAAATTTTTTTAAATTTTATGCAGTCAGCTTTGTTTATTAATCAATTGATTAAAAAACATTGTTTTATATTTTAACATTTTAAAAGTTTATAATTTACTCTTAATCCAAAAAAGAAAAAGGATGGCATTTGATAATCGAACAAAGTAGTTCCCTGTAATGATATGAACATAATTGCACAACGTAGAATACTATCCTAGCAGAAGGGGGGGAAATTACAGAAACCTAGAGCTAGCTGTTTATTGTAAGGTTCAAAACAGCCAATGGGGTACCTTAACCTTTTTCTCAACCATTTTCTCCTTTATGGTATCCAAGCCTGGCTTCCACCCTTTGCCTGAATATTGCCTAATCAAATACTCCGGCCTACCTTCGACATTTTCCGGCAGAAACTCCGTTAAACATCGAACTTCCTCATGCATATCACCACCGTTGTCCTTCTTCTGCGATGGGATTTTACGTTCCATCTCGTGAACATCATTCGCAGGGCAAATCCTAGCGAACAGGGGGAGAAACTTTGACGACTGTAGAACCGATTTCGATCTCAACACCGAGTTCGCACTCAAAAGCACACGACGAGCTTCCTCCGACGACAACGTGGTCGGCTTCCCTCGTTTGATGGGTAGCATTACGTAAACCTTTTTCACGTCGAGTTCGTGGTCCGCCGGCAACGGAACCGGCCTCTTCTGATTCACCGCCGCCTGGAACTCTGCAACCACCTGTTGCGGATGCTCCAGCATCAGCTCCGCCACCGTCAACGGGCAACTAAACTTCTTCACCGACCCGTCCCATAAAATAACTTTCCCGGACGCAACGGATGAAGGGCATGCGAGAGCAGCAACATAGTTACCCATATTTTATGTTCCAAAAGCTTCACTATATAAAAAGAGGAAGGTTTTGGTTACAAATTCATGTGAGTTTGATTATTAAGAAGAAAGCATTTTTATGAAGGAATGTGATGGAGGTGTTTGTTAAGCGGCTCCATCTTGTGAAAGATTTTATGGTGGACTTTGTGGAATAACAATAAAATTTTGGGGTCGTTGGCCCTTTTTTGAGGGTACTGACCCCTTTTTTTGTTTCATCTACGTCGTTGACTTTAATTTATTTTATATGAAAAGATTAATTGGATGTCCATGATTGCAAGAGACATGTGGGTAGAGATTAACATTTGTCGGATTTCAATCCGATTCGGATCGGTTTTTATCCGATCCGTTTTTTTCTCATAGAAAAAAACCGGTTTATAAAATAACCGGTTCGGTTTTTAACCGATTTGGAGGGCCGGATATCCTAACCGGTGTAACCGGTTTCGGTTTTAAAAAAACCGGTTTTTTTAAAAAACCGGTTATAAAAAAACCGATTTTAATATTCCATATTGCTCATAGGGAACCGATTCCCCCCCAAGGGGGTACCGATTCCTCACTGAATGGTTTGGCTCCGAGATTTCCAGAATGCTCGAAGGGAACCGATTCCCCCATAGGGGTACCGATTCCCCCTATTCAACGGTCGAAATATTTGAATTTTACACTTAGGGAACCGATTCCCTATGAGAGGGTACCGATTCCCTATGAGAGGGTATCGATTCCCCCACGCTCCAAGCATTTTTATTAAATGTTTTCACACTTAAACGGCTATATTATCTTCATTAATTATCACTAACGTTCAGAAGTGATTCAAGGTGTATTTAAGCAAGCTTAGAAGCCATTGATCAAAGACAAGAAACATCAAGCAACTAGAATCAAGAGAGAATCAAAGAGAAAGCATCAAACCTCAAGTTCGATAAATTCAAATACTTAATTGAAATACTTAATTAACTCAACATAATTGAAATACTTAAATACTTCCAAGTTTGATAAATTCAAATACTTAAAAACTTCCAAGTTCGATAAATTCAAATACTTAAAAACTTCAGGTTCGATAATTGAAACAAAGTTTACGATAATTGAAATAAAGTTATAAAATAAACTACATTGCCATCTCTTCTTCATCATCTTCGCTTTCTTCGTTTGGAGGGGATATTCCAAGTTCGACTTCTTCAATGTGTAAGTTTGCTTCCAAATCGGCATCAATTGCATCTTCTAGGGTGGTGATATGTTGCTTACGAGCCGCTCCATCCAAATAATCCTTTAAACAAATGCATACTTCCACCGACTCGGGACTTAGTCTTGATCTCCGTTGCGATATAACCCTGCCACTAACAGAAAAAACGGATTCCGAAACTACCGTAGAAGCTTGGACGGTTAGTAAATCACGGGCTATGGCGGCTAGAATCGGAAATTGTGCTTCCTTTTCTTTCCACCAAGCCAAAATATCCAAACTTTCAAACTCTTCAAATGTCATTTTTGATAGAAAATCGCATGACATATAATTTCCCAACTCGTTACTTGGGGTGGTAGTACGTGATCGTTTGGATTGGGAATTTACAAGAGTGTTAAAAAGATTCAAATTTATGTTACTTGGACGTCTACTAGATGATTCCGCATTCATTCTCATTTGATCGTGTATTACACTACTTGATCCGTATTTAGTTAAATAAATTGCAAACATGTCTCGAAAACATTTATAAAATAATTTATTGGTTTTGGACAAAGTTGGGTTCATCATCGGTTAGATTAAAAGCAAACGCAATTTGTTCAATTAGTGTTTCAACCCCACCAACATTTAACGTTGGGTTTAAAGCGGCAGCACAAGTAAAAATGGGGGGAATCTCTTAAAATATTTTAAAGTTTTCCTTCATTGCAAGGCCAATTTCTTGAAAAACTTCGGTTTCAAATTCAAAGTCATTTAGTCGGGTAGCCAACAAAATATTTGATTAAGAACCAACGGGCTAGTAGGGTAATAAACACCGGATAAAAAAGTTGTTGCATTTTTAAAAACCTCAAGCAAATCGGTTATTTTGGCTATAGTTTCCCAACTCGAATCCGGATAATGTTTGGGACATGACCCCTCTCGAAAAGTCGATCGTGAAATGTTTGCAATGTTTCCCTTTGCCTTAAGGCAGTATCATCATCCAAGTTGAGTTCCAACGAGTTGGACAATCCAAATTAGGACCCAAAGCTTTTTATTAACGGACTTACAAAATCGTTTATAATCATTTAGTCTTTTGTTGTTGTTACAAAGAACCGATTTTATCATTGTTTTAAATTCTAATCTAATCGGCTCAATAACCTCCAAACCGGCTTGCACGGATAAATTAATTATGTGTGCAACGCAACGGGTATGAAAAAACGCACCGTCTAAAATCGGTGAAAGTAATATTTTCAATCTTGGAACTGCGTTTGTATTATTCGATGCATTATCAAAGGATATAGAAAAAACTTTATTTTCTAATTTATAAAGACAAATTACCCTTTTTAAAAGTGTAAATAAATTAGCACCGGTATGCGGCTCACCGAATAATTCAAACGCGATTGTTCTTTTCATCATTTGCCAATTATCTCGATCTAACCAATGTGACGTAACGGCTAAAAAAGAATTTCCGATATTATGAGGGGAACTCCAAACATCACATGTAAGCGACACACCATAACGGTGTTCTTGGAATCCTAAAATCATTTTTTTCCCTCGCCGTACGCCACATTTTTATAGCATCTCTTCTAAGGGTAGTAGACTTACTTGAGTATAACGTGGTTGCATTAGTTGTTGAATTGTTATCGTGAAATCTTCATCATCAAAGTGGTCGAACGGCAATGCTTTTGTAATCACGAACTTTGTAAACGCTTCTCGTAATTTTTCGTTGTCGTAAACAAAAACACCACCTTGCGGTGTAAGATTCGATTGACTAGGATTCGATCTTGAGCGAAGTGCCTTGCATGATTTTGTCAAATGGTTCTTCAACGTTGTGTTTCCTTCCGATGCAAGAAACTTTAGACAAAGTTTACAACGCGCCCTCCTCGAGCCATTTGACATCTCACATAAATCGTAGTGATCCCAAATGTCTTTGTTTCGAGTGTGTTCGATCACTCTCACGACTTCAAGGTTTCTCCCGACGGAAGATTCAGCCGTGTTACTCATGATGAACAAAAAATTACAAAAGTAAGATTTGAGAGATGTTTAAGTGTTGTGTAATAAGATTTGAGAAATTTGTAATCAGCCAAATACATCCCCAACCTATTTATACATGTTTAGGGTGGTAAAATGGTAATTTTTTAAAGAAAAAAACGGTCAAAAACGGTCACAAAACCCCCCCAACGGCTATATTAACGGCTAGTTTTTTAAACCCAGACCGGTTTTTTTTCGGATAAAAACCGGTTTTTTAACCGGTTTTTTTCAAACCGGTTTTTTATCCGGTAAAAAAACCGGTCTAGGTTTTTTTCTCCAAACCGGTTAAAATAACCGGTTTAAAAAAAATCCGATCCGGTTAAAAAAAACCGGTTTTTCCCAAATCCGGTTTCGGATATTTTTTTCGCAAAATCGGATATTCGGATTTTTTGTGCACCCCTACATGTGGGGTAGTGTACTTGGCGTAAATACAAAGTCAAAGAAATGGTTCAACTGTAACTATATTAACCAAATTAATGCTTTAGATTATGCGTTATGTGACAGAGGAATTACATCATGTTGATTTAAGGTTTAGGGTTTAGGATTTAGGTTTTAAGATTTAGAGTTTAGGGTATTTTTGAATATAATAATATATATAATAATATGAAATTTTAAATAAAATGAACACAAATAAAATATCAAGATAGATATATACCTATCCTCGAATCTATGAATATGTTATTGTCTCTTGTCTCTCCAACTCCTTGAGTTTTTCTCAATTAAGTATATAAATTTTATATTAGCATGCATTTGCATAGAGAGTTACCTGCAACACTTAAATTATTCATAAATTCTTTTATTTATAAATTCTAAAATAATTATATTTAAATTTATAAATATCAGTCGAATTAAATACGATTGATATAATCTAAATTTTAAATTAAAGATAATAATAAAAGAGAATGAAGTTAATAAATTTCTTTTATTAATCTTTTTAATATAATATTATAACTTATAACTAAATGTATATATATATAATAGAATGTTCACATATTTATAATTTTAGTCTATATAAAATATTGTAAACGTAAAATAATAATTTTAAAAGTCAGACGAAACAAACATTTAATATAATTATCATGTTTCACAATGTTTATCTATTTATTTTTTAAGAAAAATATCACATTTAAGGGTTAGGTATGTTTGGTCTTTTTATTATTATTAGGGTTTGTTGTATTTTTTTTCTCTTTTTTAGTCATTGTTGGTTTTTTCTTGTTTATTTTTATGATTAGTTGTGACATCAGTTTTGGTGTTGCTCGTTAACCGTCGATATTTATTATTTTTTCTTTGCTTTATTATAGTATATCTTAGTTTTTTTCTTATTCTTTATTTTAATAATTATACTTTTATGACACGTTTTTCTCTGTCTTTATGACACGTTTTTCTCTGTCTTTATGACATATTTTTTGTAGTTTGACTATTGTTTTCATTTATCCTTTTTGTAATGGTTGGATTTCACATCGTCATGACTGATCAAGATGTCGTTTACTTGTTATCATGTTGACCTTCTTTGATTTGGACCCTCTTATTGGATTTAGATACGCTATTTGCATTCGTGGATAGTATTTTCACATCGCTTGATTCTGATTTTTCGATTTTTCGATGACCTTTCAATAGCTTCACTCCTTTTTGTGATTTGTTTGTTGGCGCGGTCAGATCTGTTTGTATTTACTTTTTGTTCAAATTTATTTAATTGGTTTTTTAACATTTTCCTTGTATGATCCATATGTGATCTTAAATGATTAGTTTTCTTATGTTTAAGAAAATATATTTATTATAAGTTTAGTTTACAGTTGTAATTGTAAACATTTATTGTAATTTAAGTATTTTTTATTTTTAATAAAATTAGCCATTTATATTAAAAAAAAACCCCATTTAAAGCTTATTATCTTATTTAAAGCACATCATTGAGAAATTAATATCTTAAGTGAT